ATTCGTTACCCTTCTTTCTCCCACACCTTTCATCTAGACAGATAGATGGATAGATGATAGGTCTACCGAGGTGATGGACAGTGTCTGAAAACTCTTTGAGGCCCCAACTACTCCTCCAATCATGTAACTCAGCAAACAGTCCATGAGACCCCAGCAATCCTAGGCCCTACTTCAAGTGCCAGGAGAAACAGAGTCTACTACAGCCAGGCACAAAAGATTATAGCAACTCCAAAGAAGCTATAGATAGCCTGAAAGGGGAATCCCAGCAGGGGCACCTCTGCCCACAAGAATGCTGGGAACCAACTGCTGCTTCCGTCCACTTGGGACCCACCGGGAGAGAGACCATTGTTTAGTTTGGAGCTAGGCCCCTTTTCTACCACCCACTCCTTCCCCTTCCCATTGTCCTAAGGCCTCTCAGGGTACAGGATGCAGCTGCCTACAGCAGCAAGAATGGTGGGGAAGGGGTTCGGGGAAGCAGATGTGGCTATCCTGGGAGAAGAGGCTTCATCTGGTGGTCCTTTCCCAGATGTCCTGTGAACAGAGGCCTGGGCCAGCAGACTCCCTCAGCATGGGGCTGGGCACTGGGTGCAGAGCTCGGCCTTCAACAGCAGATATCTGCCATTGATGAGCTTTGTGTCCCTGGACAAACCTCTCTCAATCACTGAAAAGCAATTTCCTTCCCAGCTAGAGTGAGAATACGATGCTTGCCTTTAAGTTAGTTTACCATAGTGAGGATTAACACAAAAAATGCCTGATACCTAAGAATTTTTAAGTGTTTGTTTCTGCTCCTTCCCCCACCCCCAACCACCCCAAACACACAGACAACTTTAAACATAGCCAAATACCAAGAAAGATGGTGGCAAAAACAATGTTCTGCAGCAAATGGATCAGCATTTTCTATTAGGTAAATGACAATGTTTAATATATCACATTTAATAATTAATGACCACATTAATGGAACAGCTGGCATTTTTGAATCAGGCACAGGACTTCTTTAGAGTTACTTGGTGAGTTAGGTGCTATTGGGGAGAGCTGCACCGATGGGTGACCAGTGCAGAAAGCCCACTTGAAAGGGTGTCCACGACTGGAAGTTAATGTTCCATAGTCTTCCTGTTGAAAGTCTTAATAATGCTATCTTATCTTAATCATGCTATCTTTGAATTTGTGTTTGTAAGTCATGTCCAAAGGAAGACTGGAGAGGCACTGGGGACTTAGAGTTTCAGTTCATGGGCAGTCCTGCCCCCCCTCTCCTCCCCCTCTCCAGAATGAGTTCTCATTTGCCTGTTCCCCCAGCTGCCTCTAAGAGCTCCTAAAAGAACAGACCTGAGCAGCCTCATTCAAAGGGTGACTCAACATAGGATGTTTACTCAGGGCAGGAAGGGTGTTATCTATAGATGAATAGACAAACAGGCAAGCAGAGAGACTATGAGACAGATCCAGAGTTGTTCCCTTACTTCTCAACTCCTCCAGCCCCCTCACCCAAACCCATCCCACTGGCCAGCCCCAGAAGAGGTGGCCTCCACAGGGAGGACAGGTTCTGGCTGGCAGAAGTCACTGCAGCTGGGTGATGCATCCTTGGTCCTGCCTCTCTCCCCTGGCTTCCTTGGCCATTTCCCTTGGAGAGAACATAACATCTGTAACATGGAGGGCCAGAGGTTAGTCCCGGGCCAGTCATCTCTTTTGCCTGGAGCTTCTCATGGCAGGAGGGCAGAGTTGTCTGCCATAATGATGGAAAGCTTCCCTTATATGCTAATAGCCACATAGGGCTTTGCAGTGGCCAATGAGACTGAAGAACTAAGTTATACTTTTAATTTAATTTTAATTAAGTTAAATTTGAATTTAAATTACCATTTATGGCTACTCTATTGGGTAGTAGTATTGAAGAAACAAAAGGTAACAATGAAGACAGAGTAACTACATCAATTTGGGACTTAAAATGCACTTTCACCAGCACCTTCTCCTTGGTCTGTCTATAAAATAGAGGGATTTTTTTTTTAAGATTTCCTTTATTTTTATGTAGGAGAACTGGAGTACAGGCCAGAGGTGTGGGAGGGTGAGAGGACTCACCAGAGACAGAGTGGGGAACAGAACAAGTGGATCTACTGAAATACCCTGTGGAGGGGGCGCAGTGGGGAGACAGGAGAGGTCTGCTGCGCTATGTGAGTTAGTTTCCTAGCTGCGGCTCGAACTCAGGTTGCAGTGGTGGGTCTTCACAGCATAATGCTGAGATTTAACCACTAGGCCACCAGGGAGGCCCTTTTAATAGTGCTGTTTTTTTAAGATTTATTTTATGTATGCATCCAAGAACTGGGGTATAGGCTCAAGGTGTGGGGGGATGGTGAGCTGCTTCACCAGAGACAGAGTGGGGAGCAGAACAGGCAGATTGACTGAAAAACACTGATGAGAGGAACAGCAGGTTGGACAGGAGAGGTCTGCCATGCCATGTGGATCAGCTCCCTGGCTGGGGATTGAACTTGTGCTGCCAATAGCTTCATAGTGTTGAGACCTAACCCTTTGTGCCACCAGGGAGGCCCCTGAAGTAGTTGTTTAACCACATTTTGCAGAGAGAAAATTTGAAGCTCAGAGAATTTAAGTGACATTTATGCTGACAGAGCAAAAAAGGATATGAAGCATGATGTAATCACAGGGCTCTTGCTTCCGAAATGCCGTTCATACTTCCATACACCTCTGCCCACTCATGTAGTCATCACATATTTATTGGAACATTGGTGTTAGGTGCCTGTCACAGGGCTAGACACAGAAAAACAAATAAGACAAAGGCCAGGCTTTGGGTGGGTATTTCTAGACAAAGATAGAAAATTGACCCAATAAGAATATAGGTGTAGAGCCTTCCCTGGTGGCGCAGCGGGTTAAAGCACAGCACTGAGAAGCTAAAGCCACTTCAGCATGAGTTTGATCCCCGCCCCGGAGATGACCCACATGGCATGGCAGACCTCTCCTGACCTGCCCGCTGCTCCACTCAGCAGTGTACTTCATCAGTCAGCGGTTCTGCTCCCCACTCTGTCTCTGGTGAATCCTCTCACTGCCCCTGCGCCTCTGGTCTGTACCCCAGTTCTATATGCATAAATATTTTTTAAAAACAATATAGGTGTAAATATTACTTTAAGTGACTTTCTTTCAAGTAGCTCAAAGCACTTTGCTTTAAATATCATCTACTTCTGGTGACTCCAATGTATATTTCAGGTCCCAAACTCTGCCCAGAAATCCAAGTGGATATACCAAGTGGTCAGTTCAAATACTAAATTCGCTTCTCAAATTTGCCCCAAGCTTGCTCTTCCCCTTGATCTCAGTCAATGGCAGCTTCTTTCTCTTTTGCAGCATTCGTTACCCTTCTTTCTCCCACACCTTTCATCTTAGCCATCAACAGATATGGCCAGCACTGTCTCTTCAAGGACATTCAGAGTGCTCTTCCTCTCCACACCTGCCACCTTGATCTACAATCATCATCTGTATTTGGCCTGAACAACTTGCTTTCTTTTGTTCCTCACTCTGTCCAGATTTGATTTTCCACACAAGAGCCACAGTGATCCTCTTCTCAGCTTAAAGCAGCAAAGATTTCCCCAAGTCTTCACAGTGGTCCATAAGGTCCTGGAGAACTGACCCAGATGCTTCTCTGACCTCATTCCCTATCTGCTCTCCTCTTCTTCCTCAGGTCCAGTCATACCATGTCCTCCAGGTCAGTCCTTCCTCATGGCCATTGCACAACTCCCTCCCTTCTTGCCACCCAGTAGCCAAATGTCCCCTTATCACACAGGTATTCCCCACCCCTTATCATGTTTCAATTTTCCTAATAGCACGTATCACTTCCTGACATTTTATATAATCACCTGCTGTTGCTCCCCTACACTGGAGGAATAAGCTGTCATAGGAAATACAGAACATTCGGTTAAATTTACATTTCAGGTAAACAACCAATTAACTTTATAGATGCCCTGGATGCTGCATGGGACGTACTTATGCTTTTTTTAAAAAAATATCGTTGTAATTGGAAATGTAAACTTTACTGAGAGTCCCGTGTTTTTAATGTTGCTAAATCTGGCATCCCTACACAGGAAAGCAGGGAGAGTGGTTATTTTGTTCTCTGCCGTATCTCCAGCTCTAGAACGTTTCTGACACATAGTAAACGCTAAATAAATATTTTTTGAATGAATTCATATGTTCGAACGGGTGATTACTCTGTAACACGTCTAAATATTTAATAAACAGGCGGTGAGTCCGAGGGGTGGAGCCTCTAGGTGAGGTCAGTCCAGCTCACGAGTGAGGGCCGGGACACCTGGCAAACTTTCGAAGCAGGTCCAGCAGCTGCGCGCTGTACCCACCACCGCCCCAGATCATCAGGAAACAAAATTCTTCCCGGACTCTGACGAGCTGCGCGTCCCGGGGGTGGCACCCCTGGGGGCGTGGCCCTCCCACAAGGGAGGCGGGGCCTAGCTCTCACCAGGGCCCGGGCCTCTTTAACGCCCCGCCTCCCCGCCTTCGCTCGCGCCTGGGTGTGACGTCTTCAGAACGGCAGCCAATGGAAATGTGGCTTACTGGCAGGCGGCGCCGGCGGCCGCTGCCAAAGGGGAAGTGAGCTGGGGCTGGAGCGATGGCCCGGGTTTGGAGCCCGCGGCCGCCGCCGCCGCCACCAGCCTGTTGGAAGCAGCCGTGGCCGCAACCCGTGCGGGAACCGGAGTCGCGGCTGGAGTGGAGGCGGCGCGTGTGAGTTGCCGAGAACTGCCCGTGCCGGAACACCTCAAACTCTGGGCGGGAGCGCTTCAGGTGGGCTGAGCTGCGGTCGCTCCTCAGCACCACCCTCCTCCCGGCCCAGACTGCAGGGCTGGGGTCTCCCCAAGCGCGGGTCTGGCCCCTCCCAAGGCAAACCCTCCCAGCTGGGCGCTCAGTCTCTCTCGGTCTTGGGCTCGCTTCAAACTCAGGAAGAAGGCCGGAGGACGGTAAACATCCCAGACCCGGACATTTTTTCGGTGCCCAGGCTGTGTCGGGGTTGTAGCCACAGGAGCCTCCTTTTGCTGCCACCTCCACCTAGCGAGAGACTGGCGCGTTCACACCGTCTCGCTCTGTACTTCTCCTCTCTCCCATTCAAGAACAAGTTTCTTTTCCCTCTCTATTGGAATTCCACCCAAACACCCATCCGAGTCGTTGCCTAGGTCCTGAAGCACCCTTAGAGAGATTATCTACTTAATCAGGGATGAGTATCTCTCATTCTTGACTTCCTATCCTCTCGAGAAACAAAGGTTGCTTCCCTTAACACCCTCTTAAGTTAACTGACACTCCATGCCCAGAGCCTTATCCATTTGGGTCACCAGCTCCCTGGCCATCTCTATGTGACTTCCCCTACCCATCTGAGTTCCAGTTTCCTCTGGGCTCCAGTCTTCAGCCCCCACTGGATCTGGTCTGTCCCACCCCTGGGTGGGAGTGACCAGGGGGCTCTAGCCCGGGATTCCCCACCCTGGAAGGCAGCTCCAAGGCATCGAGAGAATTGGGCGTCGGGTACGAACCTGGCAGCTCAGGAGTGGGTGCTCCACTCACCCCCCACAAGAAAATGAAAAAGCGCAAAGAGCTCAATGCATTGATTGGCCTGGCTGGGGACAGCAGAAGAAAGAAGCCCAAGAAAGGCTCAGGCCACCGCCTGCTTCGCACTGAGCCTCCTGACTCAGACTCTGAGTCTAGCTCCGAGGAGGAAGAGGAATTCGGTGTAGCTGGAAATCGCTCTCGCTTTGTCAAGTGAGTTATGCAGTGGTGAAGGGTGGGAGGGGGGAAAGCTACCACCTTGGATTACCAAGGCAATAAATTGAAGGGAAACAGGAGTTCTTAGAGGAAAAAAAAAAAAGAAGAACATAAGCCTTAGAAGGCAAAGGAGAATTGCCTTAGGGAAAAGTCTTGGGATCCGAATGGACAAGTTGGAGATCTGTCTTTTGAGTAGGGAGAAGGGCGCTGAATCTAAGGTAAGAGTATGAACTTGGGGAATATGCCAGTAACCCAGAGAAACCAAGTTGAGAGGAGCAAAGAAGCTGACATAGAGGCATTGAATCAGAGAAGCTTTGGCGACTACACCTTTTTTAAGAGTATGGAAGAGTAGAGACCTTAAAACTGCAGATTAATTATTTTTTGTACTTTTAGTGAGTCTCATCATGGGTAGCAGGGGAACATAGTGTGGAACAAACTAGAAAGCCAGAGCCTTGAGAATAGGTGGAGGGAAGGGGAGATAAAGAGGACGCTTTTCCCCAAACCACTTTTAGATGGTGCAGCCATCTAGACAAAGTGACCTTTGAGGACAGTGGGAATTTGGGATTCATGGTGGGAAATGACTAAAAGGAACCTTATGGGGCCCTCAGACTCTTTCAGGGTACACACTACAAAGAGTAGTGCTGAGGATGTAGATGCAAGGTTGGTGTCTAAGAGATTGAGTCCCTTGACGATTGTTTAGGATGTCAGTGGCCTTGTATTTTGTTAAAGGAAAAGTTGTATTTTTAATGAGCTTTATTTTTAACTAAGGCTAATTTTGGGGGGAGGGGTACGTGAAGGAATAGAAGAGTGCAACTGGAATTGGTACCCTGTTGGGTTAGTTTAGTGCCTGAATGCTGTTTGAAATTTAGTGTGAAATCGAAACTCCTTTCTACCTTTTCTCCCTTCTAAGCCAGCAAGCTAGAATGTACCAGGTGTCGTCTTCAATCTGCAGTTCCTGTTTCTCTCATTCCATTGCAGTAAAACTTGCTCAAAACTTAATGAAGTTTCAGTAAACGGAAACAAGCTTCCCTGTAGTATACATTGAAGAGACATAGATGGGCAGTTAGCAGAGGAGTGGTGGAATAAGAGAAGCCCTGGTCTTATACTTTCCTCACTAGGGCTGGTCTCTAGACTTGAATTGATAGTGATTCCCGTGAGCCTCAGTGCTCACAGGTGCTTCCTGTGGCCTTCAGGAACTCCCTCAATGTCATGAAACCTTTGTAGCCAGTAGATGAACTCTTCATAGGTCATACTTAATCATTTCAACCCGCTATCAGAGTTAAGTGTGTTCCCTGATAAATCAACTGTTTACTCATTAGAGAAGATTGTTGCATAGAGACACATATGTTCTCTTTCCAGCAGAGCTGTACTTATGCTCACTTCTCCTGCTTAAATTTGTTCTTCTGACTAGGGGAGACTATTTACGATGCTGCAAGATCTGTTATCCCCTCTGTGCTTTTGTCATCCTTGCTGCCTGTGTCGTGGCCTGTGTTGGCTTGGTGTGGATGCAAGTTGCCCTGAAGGAGGATCTGGATGCTCTCAAGGAAAAGTTTAGGACAAGTAAGTGGTCAGCCTTTTCAGAGTATACTTTTGGATTCTTTTCCAGGCAAAAATTAAGAGTTTTATTCACTCTGAGAAGTTACACATTTTTTAGCTTCTTAATACTTTTTCTAAGCTGTCAGCTTGAATGTGTTAAACAGCTGTTTGTTTTAAGCCTACAAACAGAAAAAGTGCTTGTTTTGTGCACCTTAGAACAAATAGCATCTGAAATAAAGGGATTGTAGTCAGTGCTTATGGTACAGAAGGGAAGTGCCAGGTCCAGGAGTCTGGAACCTTGGTTAACTTCCTTCCACCTGGACCACACAGGACAATTCCCTTTCTCTTCACAGAGCCATTTGAGAAAGAATGTGGGGGTGTTTGTCAAACACTTTACTCCTCAGAAATGATACAGGAGCATAGGAGTCAATAGTAATAGTAATAGCCAGCATTTATGAAGTGCTTACTGTGTACCAAGTCACAAATACTTGTCTTGTTATTCTTTAAAGTTTTACATACTCTAGATTTAGTTGTATTTTACATCCAAAGTACTTTCTCCCCACCCCCCAAGTTGTATTTGCATCATAAGCTTCAACCAGATACAACCAAAATGTCTTCCTTTAGCAATACTGTTATCTTTGGTTCTGGATTTCAAGAGCTAATTTTCTAAGCTAAGGGCCCAGTTTCTAGTTCATCTCAAATATCCTACCTTAGTAGTGCCAGGAAACTGGCCACCAGGTTTTTGTTTTTTGTTTTTTTTCTTTAAGGCCATGATGAAATCTGGCCCCCGAACTGGAATTAGACTTGTTTCCTTACTTCCCACCTTAGGCCTTAGGAGATCATGACATCCTAGCTTTCCTTTACTCCAACTTCTTTTTGCTAACTGCAGTTATTTAATTTATTTAACCTACTTAGGAACAGTTAATACTTGTGTTATTATCAACATTATGTGTTGATAATGTTTCTAGTGATATTCCTTAAATTATGTAATTATGTGTGTGTACGTGTATGTGTGTGTGTGTGTGTGTGTGTATACTCCTTGAATTTCTGGCACAATTTTCTGCCAGAATCATTCTTGACCTGATGGAATCAGAGTATATATAATGTGAGAAAGAATTTATGTTCATAGCAATATTGCAAGGTGTTTTTAAGGCCAGTATTTTATTTGTAAATGATAAGCAAAACTTGTAAACGAGATGCTCAGAAACAATGTTTACCTGTACTCATCAAAGACAGCTATCTGTGCTGTCATCTCTCAGTAATTAGTTGAGCCTCTTAGTTTTATGCTACAACTTGTTTTGATCATATATAGCAATTATTTATTTATATACTTTAAGACATTACTCACTTCTAGCCTATGGGGATTTTTTTCTCTGATTGCTATGTCCCTGTGTTTACAGGATACTTGCATAATTTATACCTTTGTTAAGCTTTTCAGAGGATTTCTTTGTTTAGAGACACATATTTAAATTGTGTACATGTTATAGACCTGCAGGTAGGCAGTCAACAAGTACATATTAATCACTCATTAATGCCAACCCCTGGAAATAATATGCCCAAAGGATGCCAGAAATTGTACCCTCTTCTGTAAGATCTGAGCAACATCTATGCAGACCTTGTCTGTACCACTGAGCAGCGTTCCCCTGTGACCTACAGTTGTCAGCAAGGTGAATGAAGCAGATTTGGACTTGTGAGTCTAGCTGCTTTGTTGGCTTTTGTTTGCTACAGTAGAATGCCAGCACTTTACAGCACTTAGAGCAGGATTCCCCAAGGGAGGTTAGCAGGTGGGACCTGTGACCTCGTCAGTCCATGTACTGACCTATGGACCATTTGCCCAAGGGTTTTTGTGAAAACCACTGTCTTGGCTAAATGCAGTCAGTCTTGGTGAGTTTAAGTAATCTTCTTTGTATTATGCCTCTACTTTGCATATTTTTTAATAAGCTCATTTTTTATTCTTGTTTTTCAAGAGGGTAATCAAAGTCACTGACTCAAATAAGACTTCTTAGCTTTAATACCTTTTCAGGAAGTTCAGAGCCCCTTGTTCTTTATTTCAATAAATTTTCTAAGACATCGTGAGAATAAGGAGGCAGGATTGCTGAGATGTCTGAAATAGAAAACAAAGCAGAGAGGCTTGGTTTTTCTCCTGTGGTCAAGCTGTAACTTGACTCTTAAGCTAAAAGTACTGGCTGGCCTTGAAACTCTTAGTCCATTATTCTTTTTCAGGAACCATCTACTTCAGAAGATGGCTGCAGTTATTCTAAGGAAGATTCTGTTTCTAGCCATCCATCTTTGTCAGCTGTGAAACAAAGTGAAGAGAAAGTATGGTACAGAGTGAAGGGTTAGAATTTAGAAGAAAAGGAAAGTCAAATAGGCAGAGTAACAATTTGGTCATTTAGGGCAAAACTTAAAAATGGCCTTGTGTTAATGAAGGCATTAGGATGTGCTGTCTGTGACAGCCAGAGTACACCAGCAAGAATGCTGGTGTTAGGAGTAGAAGTTGGTGCTGTTGAATCCTAGTTGCTCATACTGTGTGAAACTCAGTTAAATCACTTATTCTTTCTGAGCCTTCATTTTCCCATCTGTAAAAATAGAGAAATAGTAACACTACCAAAGCACTGTGCTCAGTCCTCTGTTATAACAGCTGCCATAACTGGATAGTAATTCCCTGGATGCCACCTTGCTGTCCATAGACTTCAGGGTCTTTTGTGTGCATTAAGGCTGAGTGCAGGTCTGTGCATGTGGTAGGACTCAATAGCAAGTTGAATAATTACATTAAAGTTTGTTGAAACTGAAAAGGCACATAAAGTATTGCTATTTGCTCTAAATATGTATTCTGTCTAAAGGGTGTATGCAGAATACTGCATCAGGAAACGATCTAGTGAAGTTTTCTTCCTCAGTATTTATATGTTAAGTGTTAAATGTGCTTTCCTTGTTGAAAGAATATAAGTTAGCAATCATTTTGTTGTTGTTGTTGTTGTTGTTATATTTCCTTCTACTTATGTAATAAAGTTGCCTTGACTGGGCTTATCTCCTAAAAAGCCCCAAATCAAATAATGAATGATCCCTGCTTGGCTCATACAGACCACAGGATCCAAAGTGTTCAAAGAACTTGTCAGCTTAATATGTTTATTGGTTAGTAATTGCAGCACAAGTTATATGTTTGTCTTATTTCCTCTACTATGTTTTCTACTTAATTCTAGAGACTGCATTAAAGAAAGACACACCCCACACACACCATACACACCATCCCTTTCTCCGCCCCTCACCCCCCATCCTTCTCTCCACCTCTTGCCCTCCCACCCTCAACCCTCCCACACTCCACTCCCTTGGGACATTTGACCATCTGAGAATAGCAGACATGTGTGGGATGTATTTTTTTCTTTACAACTTAACTGAAAAATGTAAAGCAAATGCAGCGAAACTCTAAATGCTAGAACTAGTAAATGTCATTGCCATATAAAATGAACACACTCTGCATAACCATGTGTAAATCAAAAGTTACACTAAAAAAAGGTGCATAGGTCTTTGCTGGTGGCACAATGGGTTGAAGCATAGCAGTCCAAAGCTAGCCGCAGCCACTTCAGTGCAAGTTGGATCCCAGGCCAGGGAGCTGACCTACATGGTGCAGCAGACCTCTCCTGTCTCGTCCACTGCTCCCCTTAGTAGTGTACTTAATCAGTCTACCTGTTCTGCTCCCCACTCTGTCTCTAGTGAATCCTCTCACTGCCCCTGCACCTCTGGCCTGAACCCCAATTCTGTATGTATAAATAAATAAATCTTTTCTAAAAAATGCTTTAAAGCATTTCAGGAAGTCTTATTTATTTTAAAAAAAAAATGTTGCATATTTCTGAAATTTTAATTATTTGATTTATTAATATTTCTGAATTTTCAGATACTGAGCTTGCTTGCAATCTATATGCTACCACTCCCTACTTTTGTCAGATTATTTTCATGTTGAGTTAATTAAATTTTACTTATTTCACTTAATAGGATAATACTCACTCCATTTCATAGCCTAAATCATTTTATTGACAAGCATTTGAGTGCTTCAGTATACCTGGCACTATACTAGGCCCTGAGAATATGTAAAAAATAAGACCTGTCCTCAAGTAACTCTCTCTCAATCTGGTGGGAGAGCCAGAAATAGTTACAGCACAGTGTGTTAAGTGCTTGGGAGTTCGGAGTGGTAAAGAGGTTCTTGTGGTTCAAGATAGGAACCTCGCTATTTGTGCTAAATCTTGAAAGACATTAATTAGGCTAAGGTCATAGGAATGAAGAAGGGGCAAGCCAAGGGCATCTGGGGAGAAAGAATAGCTTGTGCAGTCACCAAGGCTTAAAGACCCTGGTGTGTCAGGAAAGGCAACTTGGCTAGAAAGGAGATTGGAGTGATAAGTGATGAGAAACATCATTGGGACATAAGCAAAGGCGAGCCTTGGTCAGTCAGTAATACTGAGTGCCTGAACATGCCAGGCCTATATAGTCCAGGTGCTGATCCTACAGAAATGAACAAAGCAAATAATCTTGGAGCATACATTTTAGTAAATTGTTCTATATTGTTCTTTATGCCAGTTTTTTTATTTTAAAGAATACTAATTAAGCAGTCTGTGGTTTGCTCCAAAGGACCACTATCAGTATTTTATTTTCCATGAAAAGGAAAAATACTTTTTTTTTTTAAAGATTTATTTATTTGTGCATACAGAACTGGGGTACAGGCCAGAGGCTCAGGGGCGGTGAGAGGTTTCACCAGAGACAGAGTGGGGAACAGAACAGGCAGATCGAGGAAGTACACTGCTGAGGGGAGCAGTGGGCAGGTCAGGAGAGGTCTGCCACACCATGTGGTCACCTCTGGGGCAGGTGGGGATCGAACTCATGCAGAAGCGGATTTAGATTCTCAGTGCTGTGCTTTAACCCGCTGTGCCACCAGGGAGGGCCACGAAAAATACTTTTAAAGAAAGAAAAAAACTTTCAGAACTCTGTCTTCATGTTGGCAAATTTCTAAACCACTTAGGACATATGTTTCCCAGAATGGTCAAATATTCCTATATGTCATCTGACAACTTCCTTTACCTCCTATTTCACTTGGAGCTTTGAGTTGATTTGAGAAAACATTGCTATTTATGAAAAAGATTTAAAATCTTACTCCAAACAGTACTTGAAAGTTGGTAAAACTGACCTTGTCTTTGACTGATTTGAAAGAGAAAAGAGTAAATGTAAACATTTAGAGGCCTAACTCAGGACGCTAGCTTCCATATTAAAGGAGTAAGTCTTACTGACTCATCAAAAACTCCTTCATTGAATTGGTCAGTATTTAACATTTATCATTTATTTTACTTGGCCAGCTGTGCTTACTATTTTACAGCTATTCTTTCTCTTAATTCTAACGATTCTGTGAAATAAATTTTATCTCTTCATTGCAGATGAGAAAACCGAGCTCACAGATTTCAGTAATTTGTGCAAGATCACACTTAGTTACAGAGTTGAGATCCAAACCCAGCTCTCCACTAAGGTTCTTTGTTGGCATTTTCAGCTGCCTGACTTTTTAAAACCATATTGCCAGTAATGAAAAATAGCCCTGGGTTAAATGGAGCTTTAATGTTAAAGACACGGTATGGTTGCTAGCCATGAATTCAGATATCATCCTCCTAGAACTAACTTTTATTAATTAATCTTAACTCATTTACTATTTATGATCATTTTTATTTTGAAGCCACAAGGGAATTTTATGACTACTTACATTTTTTCTTATTTTTGCATTTAGTGGAATCTAATCAGAAAAGCTCATTCCAAGAAATTCCCAAACTTAATGAGGAACTACTCAGCAAACAAAAGCAACTTGAGAAGATTGAATCTGGAGAGCTGGGCTTGAACAAAGCCTGGTTAAACATCACCGAAATGAATAAGCAGGTAGCAAAAGTATGATTTTTACATTGGTGTAAGCAATGAATATTTACTTGTGTTGTTTAGTGAGAATGTATAGGTATAAGGAGCTCCAGATTATTTATCTCTTAGAAGTGGTGTTTTGTATATTGAGATTCCAACACACTAAATGCAAGTAAGAATTACATACTTACCAAGTATTTAAAATGTTAACCTTTTTATGCAAAAGAACAGCTTTAGTTACTCAGCTTTTCCCAAGGAGCAGTATAGGTATCAAAAGAGTGTTTTCTAACCTGGCAAAAAAATGGATAGCCTATTTTTATTAGCTAATGGGGACTTATTTTGTTTAATAGAGTTTCTAAATTTACAGATCTAGCTTTGGAGTATAGTGCTGTACACTGACCTGAAACAACTCTGGACAACTAATGATAGTCATTCTAGGATAGCACGGGAGGAGGTGCAAAGTTCATTAAATATTTTGGCCAGAAAAGCAAAAACTTTCCAATCCCTAAACTGGCCATATCTCACTAGGCAGTCATTACAAATGAGGGGCTTTGTCAGAGGAAAAGGGAGGGCTTATGCAAAGGGTGTTAATAAAGCTTTTATTATGTATAAGATGTCATAGTTGCCACTGGATAATTGTAGCCACATCACATCCCAGTTTTTATAGTTTAGTAAAAAGACGTACTCATTGAAAAGAAAACTCAAGTACCCTCACTGGGGATAAGAGCGAAGTCCCTTATTCAGAGTGGAGTCATAGAGTTCAATTGCAGGAAGCACTGTGCTAAAATTAAGTTCTTGCAAATATGTCTGAAGCTGTAGTACATGTGTAGGACATGTCAGTACTTAAGACTGTAGATCTATGACCTGGGCCAGTAGCTTTCAAACTTTTGTCTGGAGCCCATAGTGAACTCAAACATACACATATATAAATGAAATAAAAATTTCTGAAAGCAATAGCTTACCCTTAATATTAAGATGCTTTGTGGTATTTTATTTTTTATTCACTTCTGTGTTGTTTTTTAAACGTATTCATGAAGTAATGGTGGGCATTATATATGGTTTTCATCCTCTTAGTTATTTAGAAAAGAACAGGTATTTACTCCTTTAATTTTCATAAAAACAGTTAGATAAACTGTGACCTTGCCTGTCTTTACACAGCAAATGAAAGTATACTACAGTGAAGCACTGAGTGGTAAATAGCAACATTGACTGAGACAAACCATGGACTCCATGTAAATAGCCATAGAGTTTATCTTCGGTGTGAGGGGATCATTCAGGATGAAAAGACTGTCCTCTTTTCCCATCTCCTTGTAAATCAACATAGGAAGAGTGAGAAAGGGAGCTTAGTACTTGGTGTGAGAGGATGCATAGGTTTTCAAACCTGTGTATAGTATACATTTCGGTTTCTAACTGCTCTTTCACCAGAAATCTAGAAACCAAAGAATCATTTTATTCTTGACTGGCTGTTATTTTTTTTTTTTATAACAGTTTATTTTTACATCATTTTGTACATTTTTTTTCCCATCTCAATTGTAATCCCCGCGGGTTTCCCATCACCAAGTCACCCGTGTGCCATCACCATAATCCCATGCACTTCCCTCCCCACCCCACCCCATTTTTGAGCCCATTCCCCACTCCACCCCCACAAAATGTCTCTGGTATATGGCTGTTCATTATTCTTGTTATTTTCTCGCCTGGTCCATTATACTCCTGCTATGAGTGAAACCATCCCGTATTTTTCTTTCTCTTTCTGGCTTATCCCACTAAGCATGATCTTTTCCAGCTCCATCCAAGTTGCTGCCAAAGACATGTGTTTCTCTTTTTTGGTTGCTGAGTCATATTCTATTGTATATATATGTACCACATCTTTTTAATCCAGTGACTGGCTGTTATTTTTAATGTAAGAAGTGCCTAGAAAGGCAGGTAGCTGTAAAGTTTACTTTAATCCGAAGACTTCATAATTAAACTGAGTTCATATTTGAACTGAAAACCTCTCCATTTTAGTTTCAGTAGATTTTCAAAACTGGTCATACTAAGTGATGAAACCAGCCTGATGCAGAGCAGTCTCATGGAGTGTGATGGCAGTGTCTCCAAAGGGAGCTCATCACTGAGTTTCTGATGATCTGTTCAAATAAGTTGTGTTTGTCCTAAATCAAAATAGATCTAATGATAAAAATAATATTTAACCATGTTTTATACCTACGGGTAACTCTCAATTAAAATGCTTTTACCGGCAAATTTTTTTAAGCATTCAAAGTGGCTTAAACAGTAAGAAATTGTATTATCTGAACAAGAACTATCTTTTTCACAGTATGAATTAAAGTTAATGCAGCCGGGGGTGGGGGGTGGTGGTGAAATAAAAACCACTAGTTTGAAATAAGTTAAAGTCAAGTTTTACCTTGAAATCTTTAAACCAGTAGGTAAAATCTCATTTACTTTTCTGTTTCATGAAACTTCTGATTTTATACCCTAACCCACTCAATGGTTATCCGGGAATCTCCTCCGCATTCATTCTTACAAATGTTTAGTGAGCTGCTTTTATAGGACATGGATTCAAAAAGAGTTATCTTGAGCTGAATCCTGAAGGGCAAATAGGAGCTGGTCAGAGAATTCTGCAGAAAGAGAAAAATTTTCTAGCTAAAACATGAGTACAATTAATCCTCATCATTTGCAGTTTCCATTTTTATAAATTCACCTACTCACTCCCCAGACTCTAAACTTGTGATGCTTTCATGGCCGTTCACTGATAGGCATATGGTGGCGAAAAATTTGAGTTACCTGACAGATGTTCCAGATCAGGTCAAACAGTGACTTCTGCCTTATTTCAGCTCTCATACCATAGACAAGCATCCTTTTCTCAATAAATTCAGTGTCATGATTTCACATTTTTGTTGGCCAGGCAAGCATGCTTAGAGCAAAGGCACTTTTTTTTGCTCAATAAGTCAAAAGGCATTTTTGTTATTGATTTCAAAATGTCCCCCAAACATAGTGCTGAATTCATACTAAGTTCAAGAAGGCTGTGGTGTGTTTTAGAGAAAAAATGCATGTGTGAAATAAGCTTCTTTCAGGGTCAAGTTCAACAGTATGCCTTAACCAAGGTATCTTTAAACAGAAGCACATGTAGAACAAGGTCATGTATTATAGTGATCGTTTGGTGAAAATGGTATAACCAGAGGGCTCTCAGGGACACAATCCTTTGTTTCCCTTAAGAGCAATAATTCAGTATTCACTTAGTGTTGCTGCAATTGTCTAGATCCTAACTGCAAATCATGAGAATGGTGTATGCAAAAGCACAGGTGAATGAAAAATATGGTATGTTTGAGGACTTATATTTCATTCTAGCTATATTTTTGTGGAGAGAGGCTAGAAGAAAGGATATGTCAGCAAGAGCTATCAATAGCTTGAGCGCCCTTCTCCTATAGCACATTATATTTTTGGGCACTCAGTCCAGATATCTTATGTGATAGTTATTTTTGATACAGTTGCACTAGAAAGAGGTACACTGTATTCCAAGCTTTGATCATGATGATGAAGGTTATGGCAGCAATGATGCTGTGGTGGTGGCAATGAAGATGACTGTCATTCATTGAATGCCTTCTTTTTGCAGACACTTAGATGCACTACACATGCAAGCTCCTTTTTTGCTTCTTTAGCCCCATGGAGTAAGAAGAGGTATCCATTTTATAGCTGAGAAAACTGAGGCCCAAAAGGTTAAGTAATTTTTGTACACAGCTATGTAGCTGTGTTGACATTAAAAATACTCAAGGTCTTAGTGCCTGTATTCTTTGTTCCATTCCACCTTTCATTTTTATTTCCTCTATAGGATTCAGGAAGGGCTCACTAGATAAAATGGAAACAATGTGATGTCACATCCCTGCTAGGGCCATATTCATTCATCATTAATGATTGCTTGTTTTAGTAACTCTTATTTACTATTAAAGGACACTTAATTTTAGCCCCAAAGAAGCAGAATTTGAGCCTTTATATTATAAAATACTATAAAGCAATAGGCAAGCAAGTGGTCTTAGCTATTTTTAATTTGGTAAGGAAAAGTCATGTAATAGGCATAAAAATCACAACTTATCTTTTGGTTAGAATGTGGGATTTTTTTCTTAGTGGTTTCTACTTAATTCAATGTTTTAGAGTTTTTGAATTGCACTGTGTGCCTTTTAAAAATAAGTTCTGTAGGCCCTCCCTGGTGGCGCAGCGGGTTAAAGCACAGCACTAAGAAGCAAAAGCCACTTCCACATGAGGTTGATTCCCGCCTGCCCCGGAGGTGATCACATGGCACGGCAGGCCTCTCCTGACCCGCCCGCTGCTCCCCTCAGCAGTGTACTTCGTTGATCTGCCTGTTCTGCTCCCCACTCTGTCTCTGGTGAAGCCTCTCGCCACCCCTGAGCCTCTGGCCTGTACCCCAGTTCTGTATGTACAAATAAATAAATCTTAAAAAAAAAAAAAATAAATAAGTTCTGTAATGTGCCACTCCCCGCTGGCATTCTACAGTGTCTGTCAGAAAGCAGAACAGTCCCAGAGATATCAGTAGAAAGTGCCCCTTGTCTCTCCATTTCATCTACATATGTGGCTTTGCTGTAGTTTTCTACCAAATTGAGTGTTGTGCCACAGAAGAGAGGAATACTGAAAAATGGAATACAGTGGTCCCCCTTACCTGGGGTGTCAGTTTACCACCCATAGTCACCATGGTGTTACAAACAACAAGGAATTTGGGCAAGAAAGACTACATTCGCACGTATTACAGCACATTGTAGTAACTTTTCTGCTTTATTATTAGTCATTCATTTTTTAAAATAAATATTTAGCATACAAGAACTGGGGTACAGGTGGGAATGAAAGGGTTCACCAGAGACAGTGGGAAGCAGAACAAGCAGATGTACTGAAATACACTGCTGAGGGGAACAGCGGGCACGACAGGAGACATCTGCTGCCCCGTGTGGGTCACCTCCCTGGCTGGGAATCAGACTCATGCTGCAGTGGCTGTGGATACTTCATAGTGCTGTATTTAAGCCCTTGTGCCACCAGGGAGGCACTTATTAGTCATTCCTAATCTTTGCCATGCCTGATTTATACATTAAACTTCTCATAGGCAGCATGTATAGAGTTTGGTATTATATTTCAGGCCTCCACTGGGGGGTCATGCAGGTAAGGAGGAACTCCTAGACAGCTTTGCAGTTTGTGGAAATATAACTGGTGACCAGTGGGTGGCTAGGTCTTGTAAGTGAGTAAGAAGAAAGTGATGTTTGGTACTTAGAGAGTTAATTTTAACTGGTTGCTCTTCAGAGCTTACTGTTTCAGTGAGGCAGCTGATACCCTACACCCTAGAGTGTTTGGGATGTGGAGAAGGTGGGCAGTACCTCATCTTATCCTACTTGCATTAGCTTTCTGCTGCTTGTCTGGTTTGGGATGAAATGGTAGCTGCCAACTTGCTCTACTGGCTATTTGTGGGCCACTATCAATTCTTGAGGTACTTCTGATTCACATCAGGTGGCCAGAAGGTAACCACAAAATTGATAAGGCATTTAAAATAACCATATTCTTGCCTATCACGTTAGCCTTGAGCCAACTATGTACACACTTTGAGACACTGAGTAAAGAGACTCCTTCCTAGCACTTTATGGTTGAGGGTATTACAAGAAGGCCTAGCCGTGGATGTGGGGAAAAGGGCCATGGAAACTTGTCTAGTCCCCACCAAAGTGTTATGATATCTTTTTCTTAAATGTGTATTTCTTTCCCACGTTTTGTCTTAAAATTTTTATGAGTGATATGTTAATATATGTTTAAGATTTAGACAGTAAATTATAAATATATACAGAATCAACCCCCATCTCTGTATGTGGCCCCCAACTCTCACTCTTTCTCTCACACACACACATACACACACCCTCAACCCTCTAAGTGCCCATTGTCAGTAGTCTGGGCTGCATTCTTCCAGTCCCTTTTTCTGTGTTTGTGTGTGTGTGTGTGTGTGTAGGATTTACTGTTCTGTTTCCTTTGTTCACTGACTATAGCTACATATGTCGTGACATTTACATTATTTCTAGTGTTTTGCTGTTAAAAATAAGGAAGCAGTGAAGTAATCTTTAAGGATGGATAGCTGAATTAAAGATACAAACATTTCAGGTTTTGACAGATACTCCTAGATAATCTAATAAGTTTACAGTCTCCAGTTTACAGTTTACTGCCCCTTGAATAGTGCATGCTTCTGTGTCCTCTAAGAGCTTGAGAGTATTCATCTCTGAACGCATGGGTTAAGACCTCCTTGATGTAATTGCTTCTGTGAAGAGGTTTGTCATTTGCAGAACACTTCTCTGTAGCCTGAGGTTTCTCGCTCATTTTGTATTTAAATGAACAGCATCAGGATGCTGATGATTATTTTAATACATTGGAAATCTTTTGGAGACTTGTTTAAGTGTTTATTAAATTTCACTATAAAAAAAGCTAGCACCTCTTTGGCATTTTGTTTTTAACAGGTACTGTTCTAAAAGCTTTAATTGTATATATCCTTATAATCTATATTAGTCATCTGTTGCTATTTTATTTTCTCAAATTTTAATGACTAAAACAGCAAATATCTCACAGTGCCTGTGGGTCAAATTTGGAAACAGTTCTGACGAGGATATCTCTGGGTTATTGCTAAGATATCAGTCAAGCCTGAAACATCTGAAGACCTGACTGGAATTGGAGGAGCTCATTCAACTGGCTATTGGCAAGAGATCTCAGTTCCTCTCAATATGTACCTCTCCTTGGGGCTACTTGAGTGTTTTTACAACATGGCAGCTGGCTTCCCCAGCCACTTCTCTCTCTTAAGAGAGGGCAAAGAGGAAGGCATAGAGAGCCTTTTTATGTTCTAGTTTCCAGAGTTGCCATTGCTCCTTTCACTTTATTCTTTTTACTAGAAGCGAGTCATTAATTCCAGGCCACACTCAAGAGAAAACAAATTAAGTTCCACCTTTTGAAGGGTGGACTATCAAAAATTTGTAGACATTTTTAAAACATCACACATCTCTGTAATATGGTTGTTTTAAACCGTCACACAACAACACATTGTTGTTTGCAGATGCTATTTTACAGGTGAGATAGTTAACTGTCTAACCTTATTCCCTACCTCCTAGCCGCAATCCTCTACTCGACATAGACTAGCCGTCTCATGTCTACCTCAGACATTGGGGTTCATTGTCAGACATTCATTCAATAAGTACTTAGTTAGCTCCTGTCTTTGTGCCAGACAACGTTGTTGAAAGTAAAACAGACACTGCCCTAGATAACATGGAGCTTACAGGAAAATGACCTTAATCAAATAATCATATAAATAAATAGTCACTTTGAGAAACGCTATGAAGAAAAAAGTATTTTTGAGCCTATCTTTGCTGTGTCTCCCTGCTTGTTCCACAACGTCATGCTCACCCTTATGACCTAGAAAAAATATCTGTTTTGTTTTTGTATGTAAAACATCGGTCTGATTTGAGTCCTGTTTCAGTGAAGCCTGTCCCGTTTAGCAGGCACTGACATTCTTTTCTCAGAACTTTATGCCCTGCTACATTCAATACTCAACTGTTTCTTTGATGATGTTATCTATATCTGCTTTCCTCCCCACCTGTCTTCTCTTTCTTTCCCCTTAACTCTCCCTTCCCTAACATTACTGCTGGTCCCTTTGCCCAAGCAATTCCCTTTTCATTCAATCTTTGTATGTTTAATTCCTTCTCATTACTTAGATCTCAGTTTACATGTCATCTCCCTGTAGAGGCCTCTGACCATCCATTTTAGTCATTAGCCAGTCACTCAGCAAATTATCAGTTTAATTTTTTTTCTAGCACATCCCACTATTTTATATTTTTCTTATATAAAATTGTTTCCTTGCACTAAGATATAAATGTTTTCAAGCCACTGACATTTGTGGTGTCCACCACTGGTATATAATAGCAATTAAAGTAATTTTTTGCAGTGATGAATGAATAAAAATTAATGTGAAACCCTTCACTTTATGCCTCTGAAAAGGAAAGAGAAGGAAAAGACCTCAGTTCCTGGTTCCCCACTGGACTCCCCAATTCAGAACAAACTGCTCCTGGCTCCAGGAGCTCTGTTTAAATTCTTTGAATGTTACTATTATCTGATACTTTCTACTAGAATGTAAGCTCCATGTGAGTAAAAACTTCATGGTCCTGTTGGCCATTGTCTCCACAGTGCTTCCAGCAGTGTCTGGCACAGAGAAGATGCCAAACATCTGTCAGAGGAAAGAGTAGGGATCAGGCTTACTGTTGTTTATCCATCAGGTACCTACCATAGTATTAGGGCCCAGAAGCTTGGTTGATTACTCTGTGAAGCTGCTCTAAATATAATTGCTATTGGTAAATCTGTGTTTTCATCCAAGAACTTAGGACAGGAAAGCAGCATTTTGAAACTAAGAATCTTTCAAGAATGTTTTGAGCTACACTACAAGGTTCTTAGATGTGATCTCTACAGCTCAAAATTGAGTATTATATGGGTTCCTCTAGTCCCCATTCAAGATAAGAGTCCCAGCTATTAGAATTCTACTCCTAAATAGCAAAAGGGGAGACACATTGTATTTTGATTCAGTTCCTATTTTAATACATTCATTGCATCAGTCAGCGAGTCAGTGGGTATTTATTGAGCCCCTTCAGGGTACAAAGTAGTGCTTTGGTTGAGCTATTGAATTTGAAATATTAATCACATTGTTAAACCAAAACTAAATCCCTAAGTAGTTGAAAGTGCTGTTCAAGTTGTCAGGGTACAGTTCCTATAGACTATTTTGTGGTGATGGGTTTTTATTTTGTGATATATATTCCCACTTGGGCAGGAACAAAAGTTCAGTAAATAACTGAGGTGTTATTTTTTACCAAATGAAATCTTTCAGGAGTTCTTGATCATTAGCTTTCTTGTCCAGTTGTTGAAAGATTGTGCTGTAATCACTGCATCTTTGGGGTAATTTAAGATTTTTGGATCCTATAACTGCCAGGAATAGGGTAAAAAATAACGCTTGCCTTTCCCTCTTGGCACTAGTGTTTAAATTGGATAGAGCAAGAAGGGGCATTATTGCTGCTTCCCAGATCTCAAGTCTGTCCAAGGAACTATAGTCCCTCTATGCCTATGAGCTGAACAGAGTATAATGTCTGGATCACAGAAACAAAATCCAAGGGCATCTTGATACATCATCAGCTCTAGAGTTTGTGAAGGAAGTACTCACTCGACAAATTCTGTTGTCATTGTTCCATATTCTTTTTCCTTTCAGATCACTGAGTTGACTTCTGCAGTAAACCACCTTAAAGCCAATGTTAAGTCAGCTGCAGAGCTAATTAGCTTGCCTGCCACTGTAGAGGGTCTTCAGAAGGTAAGTGCTGTACATGGGCACTGAGATTAACCTACTGCTGTAATTCTAACTTCTTATAATTTTTCCGTGAAAACCTGCCACTTGAAATCAGCTACTGGAAGAAAGCAATTCATCATCTACAGTGCCCTTATGACAGCCAGCCAATTAGACATAGGCATTGCTCTTAATTGCTGCTAGTATCCATAGTTGAGAAAATAAAATAAAAAGGTCATTTAAAGAAATGCAAAAATTAAAAATTCAGGAAATAGTAAGTGTTGGCAAGGGTGTGGAATGAAGAAAACTTTCAAACACTCCTCAGGGGAGTATAAATTGGTAAAAAGCACTTTGGAAAATAATAGGATTTTATAAAGGTAATGTGCATGCCTTCTCAAGAATTCACTCCTCTGTATATGCCCTGCACTCTGGATTTTAGACAAGCACTAATTCAGAATTTCTGTTTATTGATCCCTAAGATTCAGGTCCAGAATAAGAGGCAATAACCAACCAGATGAATAATACTCGGTGATCTTTAGAGCTGGGTGAGGAGAATGAATGGTGAAGGAAGGGAGAAGATGCTTAACTGGAACATAAACAATATCGTCTCCTCAAGCAGGAAATAAAAGCAGGGTTTTCAAGCAAGGGAATACCAAATAGTGTTTATCAAATCTAAGATATTTGACTTTTAAAAGAAGCTCTGTAAACATGTTATCTCCATAAAGGAGAAATTCCTAAACCAATAAGCTCTCAGAAGAGAGCTCTTTTGTAGCCACTCACCTATGTATGGTCAGTCTCTCCAGTTTGCTATTTCTCCAGTGTGGTCATGTGCTTGTAACATGGGATGACTTTGATGAAGGCAAATTCTTCATACCTTAATTCCCAAAGGGCCAAAGTGGATAAAGGGTTGGTATCTATAGCCTTTAGCCAAAAAGCAACTCTGGCAGCAATCTCATTTAGAAAAGGAATTTTTTTTTAATTCGTTAATTCAGTAAACATTTGTTGAGATTTCTCTAGTATGTGCCAGGTACTTTGCTGTTGGTGAAAATATTGTTCAGGGTTTTGCATAGAGTTCACATGGCTCTGTCAGCTGCTTCCTTAAAAACAATCTTAAACAAGAGCCCACTATCTTCTTGCATCCTGATGGGCTCATATATCCAGCCAGTGAGGCTCCTCTAACAGTAGATGTCTTTGTATGCCTGTGGCTACTGTGACTGTAGAGTTTGCATAGATAACATCCTAGACTAGAGACTTCTACACGGTGTGTTGTCTCTTTGGGAAACTGTGCATTTATAATGTCAAACAATGCTTTTATTACAAGTGGCTCAGTTTTGAAGTGTAGTAGGTCATCTTCAATAACTAATTTCGGGTGTCTTAGATTTTGGGTTTTTTTTTTTTTTAAAGATTTATTTATTTGTGCATACAAAACTGGGGTATAGGCCAGAGGCTCAGGGGTGGTGAGAGGCTTCACCAGAGACAGAGTGGAGAACAAAACAGGCAGATTGACTAAGTACACTGCTGAGGGGAGCAGCGGGTGGGTCAGAAGAGGTCTGCCACGCCATGTGGTCACCTCCGGGACAGGCGGGAATCAAACTCATGCGGAAGTGGCCTCAGCTTCTCAGTGCTGTGCTCTAACCCGCTGTGCCACCAGGGAGGGCCAGTTGGGGGGTTTTTTAATGTTGAAAATGTCATCTCTTGTTCTCTTGAATTCTGAATATAGTATAATAAAAGTCATCTTCACTAAAAAACTAACTTGACACTGTAAGATTGTCAGTATATCTTAATAAAAGGTCAAGTAGTATATTTTGTATATTCCTTAGGATAGACCTTTTAGAGAGGGTGGTTTCTGAATCATATCTGTAAGTCTCCAGTCCACTTGGGCTCATTAGATCTAATGAAAGCAAAGTAAGCAACTACCCACATCTCACATTATTTAATAATTGTTAACAGAATTCTAAAGTAGAGGAAGAACAAATGCTGTCAAACAGAATTTTTTCTTTATCTCTGCAATTTGAATTTCCAAAAGCCAAAAGTAGTTCCACTCATTGTCACTCAGAAATTGCCATTTGCTACTGACAGAGAGGTAGTCTGTATATGTATGTATGTTTCCTGTGAATTGTGTCATATAGAAGATACCTGAAATGTCTCAGAAGAGAGCAGTGATCTCTTCTAGGTCAGTGTTTAATATAAAATAAAATCATAGTAATAGATCACTACATTCCTACTACAACAGCTAAAATTGAAATGAGGAGGATGTAAAGTAACCAGAATCATACTGGTGGTGAGAATTTAAAATGCCAGTTTGGAACTCACCTGGCAATATTTTTAAAGATTAAGCATACATCTGTCATGTGATCAGCATTTCACCTCCTAGGTGTTGTGGTGATAAGACAGCATATGATGAAAGGAAATGAAAATATATGTCCACAATAAGACTGAGGCATGGATGTTTATGCAGCTTTATTTGTAATAGTCAAACACTGAAAGCAACCTGAAGGTCCATCAACAGATGAATAAGCTGTGAGACAGAATGCTACCCAGCAACATGCGGAGTAGCTACAGAATGGAATATTTCAGAATAATTACACTTGAGTAAAAGAAGCCACATTCCCCAAACAGTGCATAGTCAGGTTTACTATTTATGTAGCATTCTAGAAAATGCATATTTGATACATAGTGATATAAAGTGGATCAGTGGTTGTCTGGGGATTGGGAGGAAAAAATTACAACGAGGGGGTGATGGTTATTATCAAGTTACACATTTTGAATATGTGTCAGTTATCACTTAATAAAACTATTAAATTTTTTTAAAACAAAAAAACAGTGAACCTATTACATGTTTTTGTTCAGAGTGTAGCTTCCATTGGCAATACTTTAAACAGTGTCCATCTTGCTGTGGAGGCAATACAGAAAACCGTAGATGAACACAAGAAAACCATGGAGTTACTGCAAAGTGATATGGTAAGGAAATCTACAAATGATATACATTTAGCATTTTTCTGCCCAACCTTTTTCTGTGTAATATAGTGGCATTGTTAACTTTCCATTTGTCTAAACATCCTACTGTGTACCTTTTCAAAAGATACAATATGCATTTTTTTTATACAGCTTATAAATTGAGCAGTTAAAGTGGATAGAATTAAAAGCTGAATCTTTTGCAGATGTGCTGGAGGTGATACAGCAGTAAGAAAACAATTCCTGAGAGTGGAATAGATAGAAAGGGAAGCAAACATCTGTTATTTATTACTATGAAACAGATCATTCCAAAGCATAGTGGCTTAAAACAAACTATTATTTCTCTCTGTTCTGTGGGTAAGGGGTGGCACTCTTAGAATGCAGGTGAAAAGGAGCTCTAGAGGATGAAAGTCCATCTTGGACATTCCAGCACCAGCCAAGCTCCCAGTTAAATGAAGCCCTAATGTGTGACCTCAGCCTAGACCATGTGAATAGGACTCGTACCCCAGCCCCGCAGAGCCCAAAATCATGAGAACTAATGAGTTGTTACTGTTTTAAGCCACAAGTTTGGGGATGCTTGGTTATGATGCACAGATAACAGACAGAAGCAAACCCTGCAGTGTTCAGGAATTATTTTCAAGTATCTGTTAATACTGTGCAGATGGAAGCTGTCTGCAGTATTTAGAGACCTTAATTAATCACTTAATGGGTACTCAGCTCATGGAGGATTTGTGAAGGATGAAATAAGGTGGCACAACCCTTGCTCTCTTGCTGGGGAGATAAGGGATATGTACATGAAATGGGATATTCAAAGCCCACATAACTCCCCTAGCTCCTCCACCAATTTCTAGATCTGCCCTACATGCTCTTTTCAAACTTCGGCATTTCAAGTTTAAACTAGGCAGCTGGTTCCAAAGAGACCTGGGCTTTAGAAGAGAGAATGTTCTTTTTCCTCACTGTTATGTAGTGGGACTGACCCAGAGGAAAAGCTTTGACCTAGGTGTCTGGACACCCAGGATTCTCATTCTAAGTTGCCACTGAGTAAGTCGTGTTCCATCATAATAAAGACCTTTCTAATGTACTGATTCTTTTATTGTTTTAATAGCTTGAGGATTTCTCAGAGTAATCAAATATTTTCTTTAAAAATTCATGCTTTATAGAACTATGAAAGTTTAACTCTCCTTTTCTCTTTGTTGCTGTCTTTTTTTAATTATGAAAGCAGGGTTAATGTCTAGGATTTCAGATTTCAAGAAAAAACATTTATATTCACCAGTTGCGTTCTTTTATAATTAAATCTACCTCTTTTAAATTTCCATGGCTGCCAGTAGTAATCCTCCTGCTGACACACTTTATACTGAATAAGTCATAGTTGTAGGCTGTAAAAGATTAAGCCATGAAAAGTTTTTTTCCACTAAAGGGAAAAAGTGTATAGGAACATGTTATATTTCAGTCTGCAAAGAACACTTGGAAGCAGATGGGTAAGGGAGGGTAACCCTCAAACATAAATCTTGGCTTGTGCTGTTAGAACTAAAAAGCTAATAATGTACATGATTGGTTGTGCTCAATGCCCAAAGCCAGTGGTTACATAACTGGCTGTTCTTTGACTGTCCAAACCTCTTTAGTCCTGAGGAAATATGACACTGGCAAGGTTCAAACTGGCAAGGTTCAGACTGGAACTTACAGTGAGTTTCTCTAGGCATGCAGTTAATGGGGAGGACTAGTTTCTAGGGAGTTCATTACATTCAGCAACTGAGAAAGAGTAGGAGATCACAGTGCCTTAAGGTAAGCTGAGTGCTGCTGACCGAGCCCATGCTTCCGACTGGGCATCCCCAAAAGTACTTAGTGCCTTCAGGGCCTAGCACAGGTCTGGACATGCTCTAGATTCCTGGGGAATGCTTGTTGATCTGTGATTGGCCCCTGAGAGAGGATAGAATGTTCTGGGACATAAGTAAACATAGTATTTACTTACTGCTATGCTAACCTCCATTCCTGTTAACAGAATCGGCACTTCTTGATGGAGACCAATGGAAGCAACCAGATCATTCCATCACCTTCAGCTACATCAGAACTTGACAGTAAAACCCACAGTGAAAATATGAAACAGGTACTTTTTGTCTCTGATTTAACTGCCTGTGACCACAGTACACTTGGGATGCAGCAGCCTGCGTCATCGGGCCTCAGTGTTGTGGGGTGTTAGCAGGCCTTGCTTTTATTTGCCTGCCTGAGAGCTGAGCAGAGAGGGATGTGTGTTGCTATCTTAGGGAGCCAAGATGCTGCCCTACCTCATCTTCAGCACTCTGCTTTTTCCCCCAGCATGTCAATCCATGGAGTAAATTCCTTTTCACTTATAAAAAACACAGAATGGCCAGATTATCATGAAACCCTTTATGAAAAACAGCAAGTTAAAGATGGATGGATAGCAGTGTAATTCATAGTGATGGCGCTTTTGAGCCATAGTAAATTCTAAGAATGTTAAAAAGCACATACTTCCTTGAAAATCAGGATTTTCAAAAGTCTAAAGACAAGAGGAGGGGAATGGATATTGAGTTCAGAATCACATTAAAGAGAAATCTTCACTACAAAGAATTCTTGTGCTGATTCCAATGCCCTTTAAAACCTATAGTCATCATTCCTTTTTAAGTAGCAATCAGTACTAGAGGATGTCAATAAAAATAATTGAATCTTGTACTAAATAATGCACTACTTGTTATGGTTTTGCTACATGAGCCAATTCAGTAATTGGTATTGTTCCTAAGGTAGTTTTGTTCTGACAAATTAGGTTAATGGGCATTTCAGTTAATAACCCAGTAAGCTTTCCTGCCAGCAGGTGAAGTAAACATTGGGAAATCAATTCCCAAGCTCTCAGCTTTCTGGGACCAAAGAGTGAATCATGTAGGTAGTCCTCTTCCTCCTTCCCACCTCCTGTCTAGTTGAGGCCAAATAATTCCAGAGGGAGTAAGCTGGGAGCCGTTTGGGAGGGGCGACGGTAGAGGGGACAAAACAGACAGACAGTCGATGATCTAAACTAGGAAAAGGAATTTACTTCAGTAACCTGACATCATAATTGTTCAGTGCTGCTGGCCTGCTGGTCTAGTATCTGTCTCTAGCTAGATTCCACAACGTGATTTATTTCCACTCCAGGGTATCCTGTACCTTCACAACTCTTTAGAGGAGGTAAACAGTGCCCTGGTGGGGTACCAGAGACAGAATGATCTTAAACTGGAGGGGATGAATAAGACAGTCAGTAATCTTACCCACAGAGTCAACTTGATAGAAAGAGATCTGGTTGCTATGAGCAAGGTAGAAAAGCAAGCGAACCTGTCCTTCAGCCTGGTAAGCCTTTGCAGATCTTTTGTGTTTTGTTCTTTGTTGCAGTATGTTTTGTTTGTACATGGATGACATTCCACAGCCTATTCAGACACTGTCTTCCGGCAGGCTCGAGAGGTTTCACATTTGTATTGTGCTTAATCCTCATAGTGGCTCTGTGATGTGACTGGCACAGTGTTAGTCCTGATTTGGAAAGGGAAATGGAGAGAGGTTCAGTCGCTTGCCAAGGCCTGACCACAAGTTGTTGGCAGAGAAGACAAGCCTCTTGTTAGGTTACCAGTGACCCATCTGGTAGGAGAGCTGTGGCACATAAGTCCAAGTGAGGTCTTCTGGATCTTTTCTAAGTTGTTAAGGGTGGACAACTTATGTGACAGTGACAGTACTGAAGAGTATTTTGCCATTTCTTTAAGCCTGAACTTGGATTTCGTTCAGATTTACGGCTTTATCTTTGCATTAGGACAACCCTTTTGTATATATTGTCAGGAAATATCTTATAAGACAGTCGGGTTAGACCAGCTTCTTAACTTAAGAAGTCGTGTCTGTCTTCTTATTTTGCTTATGAGAAAAATGAATAACCTACTAAGTCACTGGTGCTGGCTTCACCAGTTGGTTTACTCGTTTTTGGGGTACCACAATTCTGTGGTATTGTGAATAAAATATGTGTCTCAAAGTATGTGTGTAAGAGAGAGAGAGACCTTTCATATATACACATACTGTTGGGATGCCTGTGTATTGTTTTTTAATAACTGCAAAGTTCCACCCTTAAGGATTTCATACAGCAGTGACACAGGCACATATAAAAAAATGGAAGCCAAATACAGGAAATTATACTGTATGTTCAACTAAAACCAAAACTGGAAACAAGTCCGCAAGTAAGGTCAACTTCTGGCATATAAAAAGCAGTTTTTGAATTGGCCCTGCCACAGTGGAGCCTTAGCAAGTTGCCTCAACTTGGCTTTGAGGTGGAGTAAGAAGACCTGATCCCCCTCTTGCTTTCTAAGGGTGTATAGTTTACCACAAAGCTGTGAAGATTAAAGGAGCCTTATTTCTAAAAGCCCTTTTGAACTTAGCTGAACTAAGAGGAAGCTAGGATTTGGGGATGATTCTGATGAATATAATGCCGTGAATGTTTTCAGGACTTACTATAAAAACTTACCACCCCTGAACTCCCCATACTGCCCCTCCCACTTCTCTATTTTTCTCTAGAAGAGGAAATTGTTAATTGTACCCATCTGTCCTACTGTTTCTTCCAAAAGTACATATCCAGCTAGTTTTGGATAAACATTCGGGACAAGTTCTCCTGCATCTTATACTTTTAAGTTGGTTTTTTTTTTTTTAAGATTTATTTATTTGTGCATACAGAACTGGGGTACAGGCCAGAGACTCAGGGGTGGGTGAGAGGCTTCACCAGAGACAGAGTGGGGAGCAGAACAGGCAGATCAACGAAGTACACTGCTGAGGGGAGCAGCAGGCGGGTCAGGAGAGGTCTGCCACACCATGTGGTCACTTCTGGGGCAGGCGGGAATCGAACTCACGCGGAAGTGGTTTCAGCTTCTTAGTGCAGTGCTTTAACCCGCTGCGCCACCAGGGAGGGCCACTTTTAAGTTTTTAATGTTTATGGCTGAAGCCACTAGCAGCACCAGTTTCAGCTGTACATTTCTGACCTTTCTCCATCTGCCCACTCAGGAGCCTATTGGTATTTCTTTTGAAAGTCTTCTGATACCCCTTAAATAAACTGGGCCAATTTTTTTAAAGTGCTAGATGTTTAAGTTTTAGTGTTTGCCTTTTCTCTTCTCTTCTTATTCTCATTACCCTTCAAGATGGGTGATAGAGCTGCCTTTCTAAAATGAGAGTCTTTGCACCAAGTGACCATCAGACCAGATACAGTAAAAACTAAAAACACAAAGGTAAAAGATTAGTCTGAAGTGAAAATAAAAAAAAAAAATGAAGAAGTAGCTTTTAGGCTACTTCTTTCTCAAAAGGAGCACTTTGGTCTCATTTGCCTTGAAGACATAATACTTTAATTTATTAATTAGTGTATTATTGAATAAGTGTGCACTTAGACACCTTCTGTGCCAAATACTTTGGTAGAAGCTGGGATGACTACATGAGCAAATAGACACGTGACCCCTATACTGGTAGAGTTCAGAGTCTACCAGTCAGAAATCATTAACACATAATAGAACAGGTAACTAATCACAAGTATGATACATGCTAATCACAAGTATGATACATGCTAAAGACAGTCTGATGAAGGCACTGAGAACAAAGGAAGGCTTCTCTAAGGAGGTGACTTTTAAGCTATGGCCCTCCCAAGGCAAAGTGACCTCAGTTCAGTGCCCCCGACCAGGGAGCTGACCCACATAATACAGCAGATCTTTCCTGATTTTCCTGATCTTTCCTGATGAGCAGCTGTTTCGCAGCTCCTCTCCTCAGCAGTGTATTTTGGTCAGTCTGCCTGTTAACTCCCCACTTTGTCTCTGATGAAGCCTCTCACCTCCTGCACCTCTGGCCTAAATCCCAGTTCTTCTATGCAGGAAAAAAAAAAAAAACCTACTAGTAAATAAAGAAATGTTACCTGGGATAAGCTAAAGGCAAAGCCAAGAAGATTGTGGTTGAGTGACTAAAATACTGTCTCAGACACATGTTGCTTTTAACACATTTAGAGGCTATGAGGTCTAGAGGAAATGAATTTGGACTGGTAATATATAGTACAGACAGTTTTGGATGTATTGCTTTCCTTCTGTATTTTTTTCTCCCGTGATGATTTTGTAGTAACTAAAGTCACGTGTATTAAATTTTTAATACAGTATAAATCAGGCTCTGTTAATTTTTCCCACTCCTGCAGAATTTTTTTTTTTTTTTAATTTAAGAGCCAGATGGGAATATTGAGCACAAAACATGACAGGTGGTTGTAGTTGGAAAGTAGTAGATTTCAGCAACAGTTTAGATTTTGATAGTAAACATCAGAGTAGGATACAGCTACAACTAGTACATATTTTGACTGAATTTCTTCACTTTCAGACCCTTTGTTTTTAGCTGTCATTCCACTGTATCTAATCCCTTGTCCTGCATCATCTAGGCAGCCTAGCCATAAATAATTTTTTCTTACCTTAAATTCTTCAGGTGTCTAGGACTTGGTTTTAGTTACATATCTCCAGATCACTAAATAAACCAGGTGCGATCTTCTATACTTTAACTCTTAGGGTAGAAGAAAAATAGGTAAATATTTACTGAGTAAAAGAAATACAAAATGAATTCTAATTTTTTTAAAGATTTATTTTTATTTATCTGTGCATACAAGAACTGTGGTAGGTATAGGCCAGCAGTGTAGGAGATGAGAGAATTCATCAGAGACAGAGTGGAGAGCAGAACAGGCAGTTCTACTGAAATACACTGCTGAGGGGAGCAGCTGGCAAGATAGGAGAGGTCTGCTGTGCCATGTGGTTCAGCTCCCTGGCCAGGGGTCAAACTCATGCTGCAGTGACTGGTGTTATAACCTGATAGGCTGAGACTTCAATCCCTGCACTACCAGGGAGACCCTACAATGAGCTCTAATTAAACATAGAATCAGGACCTGCCACACTGGCCAAAGCCACTAGAAACCAGTCTCTTATCACCTACATTTCTCTCTTCATAGTTACATGAATTTTTTATATGCAAGTCTAGATCATCCTAGGGATAAGGCAAGGTATAGGTGAAAAAACTGCTTTAAAAGATCTAAACCTGAATTAAAAATACTGTATCTCCTTCTTTATGTGTCTATAATTCTGTCACCAGTTGAGTCATCACCATGGGGACAGAAAATGAAAGAATTCTTGGGGGGGGGGGGTTGGTTTTCTGCTTGCTCGTTTGTTAAGGTGATACCTAAGTGTTCTAGTCACAAGATAAAGTAAGATACTCAGAAAACTAATGAGAAGTAGGTCCTAGAAAATAATAGCCTACTCATTTAGAAGTGGGTGTCAAGTAGGCATCTGAGCAAGGGTACATTTTCCTTTACTGCTGACACACGCATGTCTTCCCCCATCCGCCAAATGTTCACAGTGACCCAGATCATCCATGGCATAATATTCCCCTCATGGTCCAACCTCAAAGCCATCTAGGTCCCCATCCACACTGAATACCAACATTCTCTCTGGTATTTGATGATTCTCATCATCATTGCATTTATGGGAAAACTGTTGAGGGTCAAGCACTGCTTGTTGAATAGGTTGTGGGAATATTCTGAACAACCAGATGAGGTCTTCTTACGCCTTACTTGATCTTTGTTTTTGACAGAAAGAAGATAGTTCCGATTCTCAGGTATCCAAGCTAAGAGAGAAACTGCAGCTAATCAGTGCTCTCACAAACAAACCTGAGAGCAACAAGCCACCAGAAACCTCTAAGGAAGGTGAGAGCAGTCCTGGCTTCTGAGCATTTCACGCAGACTTGGGCAGCTGGCCTCCCACACAGGGAGTGGGGAACGGGTAACGGTGTTCCAGCAGGACTGGTCGAACTGCCTGAGTGCACTGAGATGAAGCTGATACACTTTGCTTTCATTTAGAAAAAGCCCATTTTATACATGATTTGTACTCCAGTCTATTAAGGGAAGAATGGGTAATGTTTAGCTGGAAATAGACTTCTCCATGCTGTCTGCATCCAATTATAGGCAAAAACGTTACTATCCCAGTGTATATTAAACCAGCCCTAAATGTTGTTTATGGGAGTGTTTTTATTTCTGTAAACACATAAAATTTATTTAAAAATAAATGTTAAGAGTTTCTGAAAATTAACGTTCATAATGATGGGTTCCCTGGGATGGAAGGGTGTTGGCTTTAGCTAGGGACATTTCTGATCAATTTCTACCTCCACTGTTTAAACTCAATGAGGATGTAACCAAGACAGTGGATTATGTTGGCTTTGACCCCTATTCCCTACTACTGCCCCCATCCCAAGTATTTCTCATCTTGGAGAGAGCAGTACAACCTCTCTTCCTCTCTTTTGGGCAGGAGACAGATGAGGGGTGGGTGGGGCTGACATTGTGCAGCATAATCATGTGGTCACACTCTCAGCACCATCTGCTCTGTGCCACATATGCCCAGCACGTGCCTAGGACATCAGTAGCCAGTGAAGTTTAGACTCTTTACAGCTAAGTACGTATAATGCTAACTTGTACTGGATCTTCCAGTGAGACTGCAGCTTCAAACCTTAATGTTATATGATATTGATTGATCTTCATTTAGAAAATATTTCTCAATCCAAGCCTTTAGTTTCACATAGGTCATTATGCTGCTTAATCCTCAACTGTTTCTCTTAAATGAAGTTCATATGCAAAATGACCTTCAATACTAGTTTAATTTGGTGTCAGATTCAATAATACAAATGTTTTTGTTACAGATCGAGTACAAAGTTTCACATCCAAGCCATCAGCATTGCCAAAATTTCCACTGTCTCTTGGAGACCAAATTGAGAAAGCTGCTCAGTTAAGACCTGTTTCCCTTCCAGGAATTTCTAGCATCAAAGGTAAATTCTTACACTGTGGAATGTTTTGACTTACAAGTAAAAGAATTAGAGCTGGCATTTATTGTATGCTTCTGTTGGCCAAATATTGACATGCATCTTATACAATCCTGATAGTGATTCTGGGAAGATAAATATTCATGTATTGTACCCATTTACTGATAGGGAAACCTCCTATCAATAAACTTCCATAGAAATAATTGGTTGAGGTAAAAATTTATATTCAGGCAATCTGACGTGTTTATGACTTAACAGTGCACTATATTTTCTCTCTATTAATATTTTTAGCATCCCCACTTTCTGAATGAGTGCCTAATAAGACCCAGTGCTTAAGCAATAGGAATGCAGAATAAGATACAGACTCACTTTCTTCGTGGATATGACAATCTAGTGGATAAGGCATAAAAGCAGACACAGTATTGAGAACACCAAAGTAAAGTAAAAGGTGACCCTGTTTGTCAGGCCTTCCAAAGATGGAAGATTTGCATTAGTGGTATAGTGGTTAGCATTGCTGCCTTCCAAAAATGAGGGATTCATGTGCTGGAAATCAACAAGGGAAACATTGAAGAGTGTGTCTACCTTGCTTCCAACAGGGTGTTCTCTTGCTGTTTAGTCTTTTGTGTTGGCTAACTGCCTAGAAAAATCACTGCTGCCTTCTTCATTTGCCTTTGTCTGACTCTTCACCTCAGCCTAGGAAACATTCCACCAGAACACACGCCTTACTGTCCTAGACTAACTAGAGGTCTTACAGTATTCTGCATTTGCCTCCATTTTGCATGTGTCACTCTGTTGTAATTTCCTGGGCAGATAATAAAATTTAACTTCACTCCCAGTCTCTGGCACAGTGCCTGGGACACACAAATATTTAAGTTTATTTTACTTAAATGCAACTACTTTTTCTCACAGCCCAAAATTAGTTTTCTTTGTTTCTTGGTATGGTGGGAGTGTTAAATTGGTTTTATTGACAACACAGATTGCCTCCTCCCATTTTCCATTATTACATCAAGAATTGATGAGAATGAATAGGAGACTATTAAAGCAGATTAAAAATAACCCTTTTTTTTTTAAAGATTTATTTATGCATACAGAGCTGGGGTACAGGCCAGAGGTGCAGGGTCAGTGAGAGGATTCACCAGAGACAGAGTGGGGAGCAGAACAGGCCAACTGAAAGTACACTGCTGAGGGGAGCAGGGGCGTGTCAGGAGAGGTCTGCCGCGCCATGTGGATTACCTCCGGGCAGGCGGGGATCGAACTCATGCTGAAGTGGCTTTAGCTTCTTAGTGCAGTGCTTTAACCCACTGCGCCACCAGGGAGGGTCCTATTTTTTTTTTTAGTCATCTTTTATACTCCAGTTCCTAACAGATCTTAATACATTTGAATTACTACATTTTTTAAATGACCTGAAGCAGCAGACTTTTATTTGAATATTGCTACCAAGTGCCTAGCACTTTTCATAAACTCGTACCCCATATGTACATACACACACAAAAGAAAAACAGCATTTTCTAGCTAGCCACTTGGTGGCAGCCATTGGGAACAAACATCCCATCTGCTTTTCAGACTTTCTAATAGTTTTTTTGTTTTGTTTTGTTTCGTTTTGTTTTTACTTTATTTAGCTGCCTTATGGGACTGTCTTGGGAGTAAAAGTAGGGTCTTGTTCAGAAGCTCATCTGCAGACCCACACAATGGACTGGATCTTGTCCTGCAACTGTTTCCCCTTTATTCAGACCATTTCCTTTCTTCCTAAATAAGAAACAGCAGGACACCTATTGAAATTGGGCATGGAAATTAAGCATAGAAAGGAACGAAATTTGGGGAAATTTTTAAATAAACGTTAGCCTCATTGACCAGTCTTTTGTATCTGAAACTGTCTCTTAAGTCAGTCTGTGGGGGCACAATGAAGTCCTTTTTTAATTTTATGTAAATTGTCCTAAATTTATTTTAGGGTTCTTAAGAAAATACCAGAAGAAACTATTGATAGAAATTTTCCAAATAATATCTTAAAAATAAAAATGATTAGGGCCCTCCCTGGTGGCACATTGGGTTAAAGCACAGCACTAAGAAGCTAAAGCTACTTCTGCATGAGTTCGATCCCCTCCTGCCCCAGAAGAGATCCCATGGCGTGGCAGACCTCTCCTGACCCACCCGCTGCTCCCCTCAGCAGTGTACTTCGTCGATCTGCCTGTTCTGCTCCCCGCTCTGTCTCTGGTGAATCCTCTCACCCTCCGCATCTCTGGCCTACCCCAGTTTTGTAGTATTGCTGTCTCTCAGCTGGGTTAGAAGATTGATGAGAAAGAAAGTGAGTGAGAGAGACTCATCCTTTTAAAACATACAACTCAGTGTTTGTTTTTTAGCATATCCATAAAGTTGTGCAGCCATCTCCACTAACTTCAGAACATTTTTATCATCTCCAAAAGAAGCCCTGTGCCCACAAAGCAGTTACTCTATTCATCTGCCCCCCCCAGGCCTGTGGCTGGCACCCACTAATCAGCCATAGTCTCTTTGGATTTGCCTGTTCTGGGTGTTTGGGTGACTAGAATCATGTCATATGTGTTCCTGTGTGCGCCTCTTTCTGTGCTATCCATTCATCAGCTGATAAGTATTTGGATTGTTTCCACTTATTTGCCTATGTGTCCAAGTTTTTGGAGTGGAATTGCTGAGTTATATGATAATTCTGTTAAAATGATAATATGCTGTAGTCTTTTTTTTAACAAGCTCACCATCTATCAAATAGCCATTTAGACCTCTGTAATCCTTTTCACCCCTTCAGTGAAAGAATTAAATCTGAAAAATCGGAAAGGATGACCCTGGACAAGAGAAAGCCAATCCATTCATTTCTCCTGTGTCTCCCTGCCACTGTCCCTTTTCAGGAGGATAGTACCACACATTCTCCCTCTTGTTCTTGAAGGATCAGGAAGAAGGTTTTTTACTTCATGAGGTCCTAAACTTCACCTTTTAGGAACAAAGACTGCAAATAGCTTTTCTTTTAGTGCTTTCAATTCAGTGGGGGCTATATTTTTAACTTTTAACTAAATTTAGTTATATGTTTAAACATATACTCTTTTTGTAATTCCTTTTTAACAGATCTTCAGGATTTATTCCATAAGATTGGCCAAGACGTGGATGGGAAACTGACCTACCAGGAAATCTGGAACTCCTTAGGTTCTGCTGTGCCAGAACCAGAGAACTTAAAAGTATTCGATTCTGATGGAGATGGAAAATACTCATTCCTGGAGCTAAGAGTAGCATTAGGTGTCTAGCCTCATCAGGCATGTTTTAGAAATGGACATATATATACTCTGCACTACCTGAGCTCTACTCACCTAACAAAAGAACCCTTTTACTTACCGATCAACTCTCCTGTCCTCCGAATTCCAGTAGCACATCCAGACACATCGCCACCTTCTAACTTGTTTGAAAAGCTATATAAAAGTTATTTTTTTAAAAAAGACCATTTTACTTATAATACAATATTTAAAAAATCTATGATTTCTGAAACTAATAAGATCTTAATTTTAAAATTCACAGAAAAAAGCCCCCATATTACTCTTCCCTTTTTTTGAGGGGAAGAGACATTTATCTTTTAAAAGTGAAAAGTATGTATATAGAGAGAATAAGCCACCTTTTATATTTCACATAAATTTGCCTTAAATTAGCTGCACTTTATACAGACTCAGAAAATGTCTTTCCTTTAAAAGATAGACCTTTTCTGTTTGTAAATATTTAAACTAAAACAAAGACTTGTGCATATTTTCTGGGAAGTAGTAAGAATGGTTTGAAATAGGATGTGAACAAAGACTTATTAAAAATCACTAATCTGATCTGGTAGCAGTTGAAACTGTCATATTTCCTTATGTGCTGCCATGACTTCAGCCTGGTAGCTGGGGATAGATTTAGGGAGTGGACACTGTGGGAACAGTGCTGACTTCAGTCTCAGGAAAGTAAGATGCTGGCTCTTTGTTCCTATTCCCACAGCTGATCCCAGCCTATGAACCAGAGAAGTTTTGTATGGTTTTTCCCAGTTTCAATCTTATTTCAGGATTTAGAAGCATAAAATATTACCCCCCCCCTTTTTTTTTTTTTTTGCATTCCTCACCCTCACCCCCATCTCTAGTCAATTAGATTATCTTCCTGCGCCCATCTACTCAAGTCCACCTTAAAGCTATGGAGAGCATCATGGAGAGGGAGAGTAACCCCACAGAGACACTGCTGGAGCCGAGGGAGCCCTAGGCAGGGTTTATGGCAGCAGCTTCAGAGGCCTGCTGGATTCCTGCTTCTGCTGTGACCAACTTCCAGTCAGTCAGTCTTTTCTTTGCTTCCCTGTTTAGGGGAAATATCTGCCTACCCCCTGGCTATGCTATATAACTGGAAGAAATAGGGTCTTGCACATTGGCTTTGTGGTGGGAAGTTACCAGAAATTACCTCTTTTTCCAAGACTTCTCAGAAAGAGGAATTTCTTAAAAGGAAGGGACAGTTCTATTAGGAAGACACTCGGAAATGTCAGGTGTTCGCCACAGTTATTTGCAGGGAGAACTATAAAAACCCACAGACAAAACAAAAGTTTGTTAAAGCTGTATCAGACTTCCACCTCTGATACTATCGTCATTCTGAGACTATCTCAGCTGGACACCTAAGCACTTCAGAGAAAAGTTAATGCCTCTTACTTTGATCCAGGAAACTTCCTTGAAACCTTACCTGGGAGCTAGCTAAGTACCAAATAAATTTCTCTGTGGGCTGATCAAAGTCAAAAAGCTGTGAAGGAATCATGAATCATACTAAGCCTCCTTACAATTACCAGTTCCCAAAGTAGCTAAGGCTTTCTGTCCAGATCATACCAAAAGATGGCTAGCAGGCTTTTCCATGTTTCAAACAAGCATGTGCAGTACTTCTCCCTTTAAACACTTCTGTAGGCCTGGCTAGAAGAAATGCTGCCTGTTTGCGCGCTGTGTTCTTAGAAGCAGTCTTTGGGCAACATGAAAGGAAAACACTTTGCAAAAAATAACTGTGCTGTAGGCCAAGTCAGGGAGAAACAGACATCGCACATCTTGTTTCCATTTTAACTTTGTCCAAATTGCTCTGTTAGCCAGAATGTAGTCATGCACCCTTAAACATTTAAGGGCTTTTATTTTTTGGGCTGTTGGATTTGGTGTTGGCTAACCTTGAATTTTTTTCTAGAACTATTAAAATTTACTTGAAGCAAAGTGAACTGTTTTCCCACAAATGTGTCTGCTTCAGTATGGCTCATGCTTCTCTTTTGAAGAAAAAAAAATATTTGCTCTGCCCATCTATTTCACTGTTCTTGGAAAGATTAAAATACAGTAGAAAATCAGACTGGCATTTAGGTCACCTGCCAGGCCCCCCACCTACCTTTTTTAAATATACATGCCCTTACGGATTTTAACAACCAAATAAAATTCTAGCAATAAATTGAGTTATACTGCTCTGTTTGTATATATTGTGCCATAAATAGTATGTCTGTACCTGGAAGGTATTTTTTTGAGAACTGATTTATATGAAATATACTTGAGGGTAATGTAGCTTGTCATTTTTGTTTCAAATTCTTCTGCATAGGCAGACTTTGAAGACACCTTAACTCTTTGTTATGTGTGCCTTTCTTTCACACCAGACACCTGTACCTGGAGAAGTCAGTTTTGCTTTTTAATTTATCACTTGTTCTTCCCACTTTGAGCATGTCCAGCTAGCATCACCCCTGAGGCAGCTGTCTTGAACCTTTCCTCTACCCCTGCCAAATTTGGCAGAGGTGTGAACACTACACTGAGACCTGTGACTGTTTTATCATACTGCCTAAGAAAGTGCTCTCTCTCCCAGGCAGAACTAGGGCATCTTAAAATCCTTTTCAAAAAAAAAAAAATCCTTTTCAACACCGAATAGATGCACTGGCTGAAGAGTCCACATATGCATTTTTCCGTGTTCATTTGGGAGTGTTGTGAGTTGTTTTCACTTACCCAGCCTTTGACTCCTGTTGAGCTGCAGTCAAACCCCACCTGTCATATCCCTTCTTTGATAAGAAGAGAATTTGGCCCTGGTCTCAAGTATGTTTAGCTTATCACTCTCACAGCTCCTACTATGTCTCTCCTAAGTTACCCAAAGCACTGCTTCTAGGTCCTTTTGCATTTTGTACTAGTTGTATACTTAAACAGCTGCTCTACAAATCAGAGGCAGAAAGTTATTGCTGGAAGAGAAGAACCAAAACAAGAGAAGCTGCTTTAACTAGTGTCTCCAAGGGCAGAGAGGAATGTGTGGTGTCCAGGAGCGTGTCTGATACAGCGGAGCAGAAGAGTAGGCAGCCTTCGCTGGCTGCTGCTACACTCCCTTCCGCTGGCATTTCCTCACTACGGTTACTGGACGCAACTCTGGCCCTCCTGCTGGTCTTCCTTGTCACAGTTGAAGATTTTGACTGTGATGAGCTCATACTCATAATGGCCTGCCGTTGAGTTGTTTTTAGTGACAGCTTTTGTTTGCTACACACCTCATTGGCTTGCTTACCAACACCAGCTCGATGTGGTCCCTACTTTCATATCCAAACCAGAACACATTTGGGTGTTCCTGAGGCTTTATAGAGCGTGTATTGTTTGTTATATGAACCTAACCTACCTTGTTGTTTTCTCATATTAAGAAATGTAAATCTACTTTGCTTTAGTGGGGCTATTTTGGTAATGTATAAGCAGTTTTGGTTCCGTTTAGGGAGTGAACTCAAGGTTTCCATGCCTTGATTTGAGCTTATTTCTTATCAGTAATATTGCCATTTTAATTTACCTAAGTAAAACATTTTCTTTCCCACTCTATGGCGAAAGTCCCCATACAAACTGATGACTAAGAAAAAGGTATGTGTATGTCTGCATTGATCCTTACTTTTATGAATTCCTTCTGACTTTTGAAAGCACAGACTAACAGATGGTAATCTCAAAAGTACTGGTGAGGAATCTTCCAGTTCTTCAGCATCCTCAGAGGTGGGAGGGGTTGGGGGAAGGAAGAATGAGCACCTGTCAACCAGATAGCTTCACTTAGGCCTGTGTGCTATTAAGAGAGTCAGTTATAAGAGCATGTTTAAAAAAAAAAAATCCCCATGCCTTAAAAAAAAAACGGCCTGTGATCCATTGCAAGAGTGTCATGGAAGGCCTGGGGCTTTTTCACACACAAGAGAAAAAGGAAAAACTAAGTCTACGTGTTTGGTAGACGGGGACCTACATACACGCTCACCACATGGGTGGCCTTTCCCCTCAGGGAAGAACTTGTTCAGCCCCAAATAGATGATTTCTGCATTCCCAAAAATGTATGTCCTTGAGTAGACCTGCGTTCATTTTTAAACTGGGACCAGTTTAACTTACTGTCTTTTCTTTAGCATCATTTCCAGATAGTATTTTTTTTTTAAATCCTTATGTACTAGATCTTAACGTTTGGAGGTTATTTGAATTCCTTTAAGACAGTGGATACATATCTGTATATAACTTTAGGGGTTCACGGACCTATGAACCAGGTTAATTATACCCTAAACATAGTAAATCACTTGCCCAGTGTTTTCTAACAAGACAAGTTAGGGAAGGGACACCATGATGTGTGATGGGATTATCAGGGACCTTGATGCCAGATAGATGTAACATAAAAATATGGTGATTGACCCTGGAAATGATCATCATCAATAGGAAAACAGTGGTGATACTCATTCAGCGATGTTCTTTTATGAGCAATAATGCAGAGATAACTGCCAGTAATGACTTGGTGCATCATAGCTATTGTCAGAGGATGCAATTCAGTGCCATGTGGCTGCATGAGACCAGGTTGACTTGCTTATCTGCACCGTGACCACTATGAATCACTGTAGTGCACACACACTCAGCAGTTGTCATTTGTGTGTAGCTCTGTCTGGGTATTGGCTGTACTTAATGTCCTCAAAGATGGCAATGCCTTGGTTACCTAATCCAGAGTCCAGCACTCCTTTTTTGTCTTCATATTGGATGGAGGAATATTGCGCCCATCACTGGCTCAGAGTGTCTCCCTCCCCAGTCAGTCTTCCAGTTCCCATTTGTACTGGTGGGACTAGGTGACCTTGGTTTGCAGTGTCCTGGTTAACTTTGAAGGACACAGCACTCTTAACAAATGAGACAAAGGAACCTTGAGCTTTTTTAATCTCTCATAGTGCCCTAGCCTCTATTAATGCAGTTACCTTCCTGAGGCAGCTTAATTCTGGCTCTGCTGATACCTCCAGCTCCCACTCTCAGCAGACTACAATTCTGAAGCAAAAGGCTTGACATTAAAGCATTGGTCCCCATGGGCCAGGGTGGGAAGAGAATGAAAGTAGGCCTTCCTTTCAGGACAGGTAGCCAACGGGTAGGAGACTGAGTGGTTCAGCAAGGGGGGTAGGTTGTTCAGGGAGAGGGTGAAGGGCACCTCCTGAAAGATGGGAATTGAGAGTGGGGAGCTGGCATGGGGCTGAGGCATCACAGAAGGCTGGGGCTGCTGCTGCAGGACCTTATGCAATGCAGGTTGCAGAGAGACAGGGGCTTCTGCCTTGGGGCTCCTGCCCTCAGGTATGTCCAACTCCAAATGCTGGACCTCGGCCTCAGGCTCGGTGATAGCAGAGGGAGGGCCCATGTTGATGGCTGCATTCATGCCATGGTGCCGTCGCTTGTTAACCCAGTACAGCAGCGGGCTGTAGGTAAATGTGGTGACTCTCATCGCCTCCACCCACTCCTGGGCACGCTCTTCCCGCTGCAAGTTCTTCCTCCAGTGTAGAAAGAGAATGCAGCCGCCAGTAATCACAGAACACAGACCCAAGAATGCAAAGTACAATGAAACCCACACTAAGGAAATAAGAAAGAAAAAACAAAGGGCAAACTGGTTGATAGCTATAGCTTAGGGTCTGGGCCAGTTCTCATTCCCGTCCTTAAACCTAGCTCAGATACTCCAACCACTTAACTACTCTATCCTTCCTTCCCTCCTCCCTGATGTGTCTATCTTATTCAGTCAAAGCAGGATTTCTGGGAGGCTTAAGAGATCACCTGTAGAGTCTACAGATAAGGAAAGTGAGGCAGTATGGACTGCCTAAGCTTAGTCAAGTCTCTGGCTTTCCATCCTGGACCCATGAAATCCACATGAGAAGCCTCACTGAAAACAAGGCTCATCAAAGATGTTAATATTTACCAGTTGATATGGTCACCAGTATCCTGCCTTGTTCTACACATGCTTTAACCCTTCATCTCTGATGGCCCTGAGATATTCATAGTACCTCCTCTTGACCAGAGAAATATGATCTCTGCCCTCAAGTACTCTTCATTTTCTAGAGAAATGGGTATCCTAACTGCTGAGCACTCCACCATGCAGGCAAACACCACCCCATCCATGTTAAAGGTCTACTTCGAGTGCTCCCAAGCCCAAAGGCACAAAGCAAGGGGCAGGTATCAGAAGAACACTTACCACCAGGGAGGCTTAGGTCCTGCCGCTGGGAATCCATAAGTTGAGCCTTGGTACCTGGCTGATAGCTGTGGGGAGAGTGAGTTCACTTACCAATAGGAGTCCTTGGAATACTCAGGCCCTTTGTTCCCTAAAGGCTTGGCCAAGTCACCAGTATTCTGAGCATTAAGCATTCCAGGGGCTGTGCTTGTGAAGTCTTGGTTAGTGGGAGGGACTCTACCTAGTGTCTCCTAAACATCATAAGCATAGAAAATCTCTGCTGCATCAGTCAGAGACTGACCCACCACCTGGACCATCTGCTGTACTCCACATGGGGGAACCCACAGACAGCCCCCAGGAAAGGGCTCCAGTTCCCTGTAAGGAACAGTTGATGAATACCTGTCACCAGTAGGGACTGAGGCAAGGAGTACCAGAACTTTGGGCAGCCCTCCCTCAAGAAGTGTATGCCAGGCCCTTCCTGGTGGCACAGCAGGTTAAAGCAAGCACTAAGAAGCTAAAGCCACTTCAGCGTAAGTTCAATGCCTACCCGGGAGGTGATCCACATGGTGTGGCAGACCTCTCCTGACCCACCTGCTGCTCCTCTCAGCAGTGTACTTCGTCAGTCGGCCTGTTCTGCTCCCCACTCTGTCTCTGGTGAAGCCTCTCACCGCCCCTGAGCCTCTGGTCTGTACCCCAGTTCTATATGAATAAATAAATAAATCTTTAAAAAAAAGTCTGTGACCATGTTGTCAGGAGAAAGACTGCTCACGGATACACAATGGTCAACACTGCCTTCCTTGGTTTCTGTAATCTTTATAGTTTCATTACTTTCCACAAGTGTTTGCACATTTTTACAGGCTGTCAGGCCCTGTGGCAGCTCCCCACCATCTGGCCCTACCAGTCAGCCTCATCTTCCTCCCGTCCTTCACATATCTTTCCCTTCTGACCAGGCCAGCCTCCTTAACAATTCTGCTTGCTCACACCTCTGGAGTTTTTCTCTCACTGCTCCCCCATCGAGGGGTGGCCCTTCCCATTTTTCCATCCAGACTCAGCTCTACCCACCCCCCACTTTGTAACAGACGTTGCCCCAGAAGCACATCATCTCATATTTGAAGGCATTTTTGAGTTATCTGGTCCAACTTTCATCAGCCACCTGAGCTCTGGAGGTAGAGCTCCCCTACGCAGCAACTAGGCTCCCTGGGTGCTCACCTGGGTCAGTCTTGCTCACACTTGAGTCAGTTTGATGACAGCCGCTCCCTAGTTAAGCGCAAGTCAGCCTGCCTATAGGATGCACTGCTGGACCCAGCCTGGCTTTTGGCCTATTTAATCTCCTCCCTCTCCAGACACTCAGAATGTAACTTGGCACATGATGGAGCACAGATTTCTCTCCAGTCTACTTACCCTTAGCTCTCTGCTTACCTCACTAGCTCCTGCTGTTCAGTCTCTTTTACTAATTTCTCCTCTTTTTTCTTAGCTCTAAATGTTAGTGTGCCCTAGGACTCAGTCGTTATCTAAGTGATTCATCTCCCTTTGTGACCTCATCCAGATTCATAGCTTTAAATATCACGTGCACAGACAACTGACAACTTTACCTCTAGCCCACACTGTTCCTTGGAACTTTAAATTCATGCACACAACAGCCTACCATGTTATCTCTAACATGTCCAAAATGAAATCATCCAGTATCATCCAACATTTACATCCTCTTTTCCATAAGTGGCAACTCCATCCTCTTAGATGTTCATGTCAAACACCCATAAGTCATCTTTGGTGGCTTTCATTCTCCTATACCTACATTTAATCCATTAGTAAAATCTTTAGACTTTGCTCTCAAAACATCCTCAGAATCTAACCAACTTCTGTCACTATCACTTTATTCTAAGCACCACCACCTCTTTACTTGGATTACTGGTCTTCCTGTAGAGAGACCAACCATCCTATTTTGCCCAGGACTACAGAATTAGCCAGAATATAGTACTTTCAATGCTAAAACCTGGAAAGTCCCATACAAACCAGGACAAATTAGCCACTCTTGGGAGAACTTCCATCTTGCCCCTCATTTCCTGTGTTCCACCTGCAACCAGAATAATCCTTTTTAAAAGTAAATCATGTTACTTAGATCTTCAAAACCTACATCCCATCTCACTCAGATTTAAATCAAAGTCCTTAACCAAAGCATATGAAGCCCTGACCCATCTAACTCCCCCATACTCCCTTCACATAATAACTGCCCTGAAGTCCACAGCAGGCTGAACATGCTCCTGCATCATCCCAGTGCTCCCTTTCCCGCTCCCTGGAAGGCTCTTTCCCCAGATAACAGAGATCATTCCCTCCTTTCCTTAATGAGGGATGTCCTCTTATCTCTATTAAGCCTGCTTTGTTTTCTGGGGGATAGTATGTATCATCACCTAACATATATTGACTTAGTGTCAATATCACCCTACTAGAATGTAAGCTCCATGAATTAACACAAGCAATAAATAACCTGAGATGTTCATAAGTTATAACTGCCAAAAAGATAATAAAATAAGGTAATGGGATAAAAAATATAAAGAGATGATGGGTGAATCAAGAAAAATCCCTCTGAGATGCTGACTTGTGGACGGAGCCCTAACTGTTGAGCAGCAAATACAAACAAGCAGAAGGATGAGCCAGTGTAGGGGTCTCAGGTAGGCACAGGCTGGCACCCTTGAAGGATTTAGTAATCTCAAGAGTCTATCACACTCTCCCACTCACCGGCCAGGGCGCTCTGTGAATGTAGATTGGCTAGCAAAGTTGAAGGCTCTGTCCCTGCTGCTAAGAGGTCCACCATCCAGGAGAAGGCTCTGCCAGGTAAGAACGGAGAAGAAATTCCATGAAAGTTAACTGACTATTGCCACACAGACAGCTTCCGCTAGACCTTTCCCTGTTCTAGGAATGCATGAGACACAGAGATGTTGATGTTATTGTCCCTTACCCCAGGATCTCACACCTGTTTCAGGGCATGAAAAGGTGGAGGCATTGGGTGGAGTGAGAGAAGGGAGAGAACATTCCAGGGGTCAAAAATAGCCTGAATAAAGACTTGTCAAGAATATTCTCTGCGGGGGTTGAGGGGGTTTTGGAGAAGGGAACTAGTGGTTTGGCAGTTCAAGGTGGATGTCAGAAAGCCAAGGGAGACAAGGCTTTGGAAGAGCCGTTGTCTTGAAATGTGTGGCTTGGGTAGAACATGGATCTGTTTCTTAATGGCGTAGGCCTGTTTTCTTGCCTGTAAAATAAGACTAACACTAGTCTCAGGGCTGTGATGCAGAAGCTACCCTGCAGGTAAACATGCTCCATAATTAGCTGTGATTCTAGCTGGCGGAAGATGAGTGCGAAAGAGAGCCAGGAGAATTTTTTTTTTAAAGATTTTATTTTTGCATGGAACAACTAGGGTGTAGGCCAGAGGCACACATAAAGAGAGATTCACCAGAGTGGGGAGCAGAACAGGGGGGCCTACTGAAATACACTGCTGAGGGGAGCAGCAGGTGAGAGAGAAGTCTGCTGTGCTATGTGGGTCTGCTCCCTGGC